CGTTTGTATGTATGTCGCTGTTGTGTTTGGTGGGTTTTTATGCATTCGTTTTCCACGCATGTTTGTTTACGCAGCTGGGTCACGCCACTTTGCCGTTGCCTGTATTGCATATGCTGTGTTTGTTGCTGTTTTGATTTGCATCTAAATTGTTAGGTACAGTGATAAATAAAAATTTTGCAGATTAGTTTTTTTTTTTTTTGTAATTCAAATTTAAGTATTAAGAAATATGTACATATAATAATTTCCCTGAAGTCTATTATTTTTTCCTTAAAATTAATTTTTTTTTTGATTATTTTTCTGAAATTTTTCCTTCAAAACTTTCTTGACTTATTTTTCTTTCTTTTCTCCGTTTTTCTTTCAAAATCGCATTTTCTTAAAAAGTTTTACTTTATAAATCTTTGCCATTTTCTTAAATTTTTTTTTTTTTGTTCCATATATTCCAAAAAAAATCCTTAACCTTTTTTTTCTTAGAGAGCTTTTCCTTAACATTTTTTTTCTCTGCCTTACAATTTCCTTCAAAAATTTTATTTTTTTTTCCTAAAACTTAGAAATTTTGATTTTGTTCTTTTTTCTATTTCCCTGAGAAGATTCGGTTCTTTCGTATTTTCCTCTTTGTTTTTTTTTTTTATTTGTGAAATATATATTCCTCTTTCTTTTTTTCTATAGCATTTCCTGTGCAAATTTTCCCCTCATATATCGTTTGCCCTCTGTAATTATTCTCTGAAATCTTCCTCAAGTTTGTTTGTTTATCTACTCCTTTGCTCCCAGAACTTCTCTTAATTATTTTCCTTTCCTTCGTCTCTGCGCCTTTGTTTCGGTTCTTCGTATTTTCGCTGGGGGTTTGTTTGCTGCTTCCGGGAAGTTCGGCTCCCCTCTCGTAAAAAGCCTTTACTTCGCTTATGTGGGCTGTCCTCCTCTTTCCGTGTCTTTTCACCTACACTATAACTGGTGAAGGGGAGTTTCTTACCATGTACGGCCCGCTATATTTCGGGGCCAACTTTGCCGCAAAGTTTTCTACTGCTTTCGATTGTGGGTGCTCTCTGAGTAGCATCAGATCGCCTATAGCTGGTCTCCATTGCCTCCTCCATTGCCTCCTCCGTAGTGCCGTGCTTGTTCCGCTGATGCCCGCTGTTGGTTTTGGCGCACCAGACTGAATACTTCCTTTAGTGTTGTGGCCTTCTCGTTTGGCGTCGTCGAGTTCTGCTCCGTGCCGAACGTGATCTCATCGAAGACTGCCCTTGGGAGTCTCGGCTCGCGTCCTTGTGTTAGAAATGCTGGGCTGTAGCCGGTGGATTCGCAGACGCTAGTATTCAGTGCTAGCATAATTTCTGGTAGCAGGTTGTCCCAGTTCCGTTGTTGCTCGCCTGTTAATTGTGCTATGATCCGTTTTACGTTACGGTTCGTTCTCTCTGTCGGGTTTTCCTGTGGGGTATAAGGAGCAGTGAATTGATGCTTTACCCCATATTGCTCGAGGAACCGCTTGAACGCTCGACTGGTGAATTGCGCTCCGTTATCCGTTACCAGAACTTTCGGAACGCCGAATCGCGCAAGGATTCGCTCCCGGAAAGACTTACTCAGGCCCTCTGTCGTCGCTTTCCGGAGTGGTACAATCTCTACCCATTTAGAGAATTTGTCATGGAATACGAGTATCATTGTGTTGCCGTGTTTGGATCGCGGCAGCGGCCCGATGAAGTCGGCGCATAAAATAGCCCAAGGCTCGTCCGCAAGTTGTGTCAACATCTTCCCCGCGGCTTGCTGCTGGTTAGGTTTATAAATCTGGCACGACTGACACCCTTTCACGTATTTCCGCACATCACGGAACATGCCTGGCCAGCAATATCGTGCGGTAGCTCTTGCGATAGTCTTTCGTACGCCCATGTGGCCAGCGCTGGGTGTGTCGTGGACTTCGCGTAGCACCCTCTCCCGCAGGTTCTTCGCTACGCACAACTTCCACGGGTTGGAGTCTTCGCCATCCGCGTAGGCAGGGAGGCGCCGATATAGGTTACCGTCTTCCACCGTGTAGTCTGCAAATTTAATGGGGTTAGCTCTTACTTCCCTTATCTTCTCCTCCAGCCATTTGCAGGGTTCTTCCGTCTTAAGGTGGCGGCTGGCATAGGAGATCACTCGCTCTTCTCCATCGATTTCTTGGGTGAGCACCGCCCCAAGCCATAGTCGCTGGCGTCTGTCTGCAGTATGAACCTCTTCGTAAAGTCAGGGCACGCCAGCACTGGGCTTCTGTTAGTGCTCTTTTCAGGTCTTCGAAAGCAGCCTGTTGCTCATGCGACCACTGAAATCGCTTGCCTTTCTTTAGTAGCGCGGTTAGCGGGTGGACAACGCGCGAAAAATCTGGTACGAATCGTCGGTACCAGGACGCTACGCCTAGGAAGCGACGTAACTCACGCGTGTTTGCCGGGGCCTTCATATCCTTCACAGCTGCGACCTTGTCTGGATCCGTATGAATGCCATCCTTGCTTACTACGTGACCTAAGTACTTAAGCTCGTCCTTAAAAAATTCGCAATTTTCTGGATTGACCTTCATGTTCGCCTCTCGTAATCGTCGGAACACCTCGGTGAGATGTCGGATGTGCTCCTCGACGGATGTGCTGGTCACGATTATGTCGTCTAGGTAGGCGAATGCGTGTGGCTCTAGTTCGGGGCCGATAACGCGGTCTAACGCACGTTGGACGCCGCTGGTGCGGAGTGGAGCCCAAACGACATCACGCACCATTAAAACAGTCCGCGACCTGGCACGGTGAACGCCGTACACTCTTTGCTTCCCTCCTCCATCGGAATTTGCCAATAGCCGTTCTTAAGATCCAAGCTGCTGATTACCTTGGCACTGCGAAGCCGCTCTAGGATGTCCTATCCTAATCCTAGGTAGTGGGTACGCGTCGAACGCATAGTCTCCACTTCTCGTTTTTGACCTTCGATGGTGGAAAGCGTTCCTCGATCGCTTCGTTAATGAATCTCCTTGTGGCTCCAGTATCTACTGTCGCCTGCATTTGCGTCTCGTCTACTGTGGCGGTGGCTACGATTCGCCCTTCGTCGTGGCGTAAGAACGCTCTTAATGCGTGCGAGTTATCGTCATTTGGGTCTCCGCTCCTCGCTCTTGGCGGGTCCCGTGCTCGTTTCCCTGCATCCTTCTGCAGCAGTCTCTTGTCTGCACCCCGCGACGGCCACACTCACAACAGAAGTCAATTCTAGGGTTACGGCATCCGTACGCTACGTAGCCGCTCTCTCCGCATCGCCTACATGCGGTTCTTGGATCTATCCGCCTAAATCATTCCGCGCTGTACCACGGCCATCACCTCTATGCTGGCACGACCCCGCACCACTGGGGTCCATCGGTGTCGGCCTGAGAACGTGATACCGCTCTTCCTGCCGCCTCTGAGGAATGGGCGCACGCCTAAAAGTGTCGGGGTGAGTTTCGTGGCGTCGAGGTGCCGTTGGTCGCTGAACGGGTTGCTGCGTATTTACGTCGGAAATAATATTCTCAAAATATTTAGCAAGACTTACCAGCTCCTCCAGAGTAGCAAAGTCACGCCGCTTAATGTAGAGTTGGTACTCGCTGCGACTGTTTCGGTACACACGGTCGAGTTTTTGCTTTTCACTGCCTTCAGCATATCTCATGAGATTCTGTAGCTCAAGTACGTAGTCCTCAAAGGGTTCTTGTACTCGCTGGACTCGTTGGCGGATCTCGTCGTCTAACCTCTCAAATTACCGCGAGGACAGGAAGAACTTTATAAAGTCCCGTCTAAACTGGTCCCATGTTGGCCATCGTTTGTTGTTGTTGCGGAACCAGCTTAGTGCTCGATCCCGCAGCAATTAAGGAATTGCTTTCGGCAATACGTCGAGGTTGATTTCATAGCCTTCGGCTAGCTCCTCAACGCGTTCCATGTACCCTAGGGGGTCTTTAACGCCGTCAAACTTTAGGCCCCACTCTCTCACTCGGTCCATAACCGTGGCGTAAGCCGGTTCGGAATGGGTTGTGAGAGTGGGGTATGCTGGTGGTGACACGCAACTGCTCGATTGGGCTGCCATATCCTCGGTTCTGCCGAGTATCGGTACGTCCGTGAAAGGGATTGGTGACGCCCGGTCGTGCTTTGGGAAAAGTTCCGTCAGACGCCTCGTGTACTTTGGGTCGTCTTTAACCTCTGACAGGAACTGTGATAGCCTCTTCCGCAGCTCGTCGACTGTCCCGGAGTCTTCTAGCCCGAACTCCGCGGTGTATTCGAGGAGTTCCTCCTTACGTAGGTAGTATACCCACGATAACTTCACCATCTTCACTGTTCTTAGAAAATATTACTATGTTTTGCCCTTTCCTGCGTGTTTTCAAAGGCTTGCTCTGCATTTATTGTTTCACTTGGAGTCTTCTCACTTCAATCACTTTCTGATCTTTCTATTGTAACGAAGCGTTTTTGCTTGCCACGATGCTTCTTCTAAAATGCTGGGGTAGACTCGCCGTGACTGGGTAATGGCTCCTTGTCCCGTTATGAGCCCGTTAGGCTGTAGTGGCGTGACTTTGGTACTGGTGGGCAGCGCTCTGCTGACGCCGCTGAGTGGCGCGCTGCTAACGTCTATAAGCGGTGTTCTGGCCGCGTCGGTATGTAGCGCTCTTGTAAGGTGGGTTGCGCTCTGGTCGTGCCGGTGAATGGCGTTCTAACAACGCTGGTGGGTAGCGCTCTGGTGACGCCGGTGTGTAGTGCTCCGGTGACGCCGGAGAGTAGCATTCCAGTTGCGTTGAGACGTAGCGCTCTCAGCAATGCAGGTGAGGCGCACCGATGAGTGGTACTTAGGTGGCGCCGGGAGTAATGTTTGCTGTGGTGAGAGCGTGTGTAGCTTGTGGCGCTGCCACTGGGAAGGTGACGTCCAGCCCGACGCTCAAGCCGGTGCAGAAGAAAACACCCTACCAGCCGCTGTTGCAGAAGTGGAATCAAGCCCGACGCTCGAGCCGGTGCAGAAGAAGTCACTTCTTGCCAGTAGCCGTATGCTCATGCTGACTGACTGGTTGCTTGTCGTGCTACTCCTTTAATAGGCTATGTGCTTGATGTTGCGTGGTCGCGCAGCTACATGTTGCTGTGTGATGTTGTGTTGTCATGTCGAGTGTTGCTATGACTTGTGTAGCCGTGGTTTGCTGCGTG